ACACCATGCCTGGCTATTCTAATATTTTATCATCTCATTTTTACATATAAATCTGATTCAGATTCAGGTCCTTTTTTCCCCACATGTCTCAACACTATTAATAGATTTGAGATTCTAACTTAAATTCTTTGGTTTTTTTTCTGAGACAGAGTCTTGCTATGTCGCCCAGGCTGAAGTGCAGTAGTATGATCTTGGCTCACTGCAACCTCTGCCTTCTGGGTTCAAATGATGTTCCTGCCTCAGCTTCTTGAGTAGCTGGGACTATAGGCATGCGCCACCATGCCCAGCTAGTTTTTGTAGTTTTGGTAGAGATAGGGTTTCACTATGTTGGCCAGGCTGGTCTCGAACTCCTGACCTCAGGTGATCCACCTGCCTCAACCTCCCAGAATGTTAGGATTATAGGTGTGAGCCACCGTGCATGGCCACTTAATTAAATTCCTATACATAAATGGGACTATTTCTCAACTTCTTATTTATTGATTTGCTTATTTATGTACCATTTTAATATCTGATAGAGCTAATTCCCACTTGTTGATATAGGAATTTCTTAAGCTGGGGTCTGTGTCTATGAGTTTGTGGGAGATGAGGGAAGTCTGTGAATCCAGTGAAATATACATTTATAATTGTGGTTACAATGTGATCCTTTCTGGGGAGAAATCCATAATTTCATTAGATTCTCAAAAGGATGCATGACTCCATAAATGTTGAACCACAGATCTAGAAGAATTAGAGCCTTATATCCTTAAGGCAGTCCCTCATGAATGTTAATCTTTTTAAATCAAATTTCGTTATGAACTGTGGATGTAAGTAATTGCTTGTGCATACATAGAATAATATCTGGAAAATGCATGAGAAATTGATAACACTGGTTGTCAGAAGATGGGAACTGGTGGTGGTTGAGGAACAAAGGTGGGAGGGAGACTTCATTACTTTATTATATTTTTGGAATTTGGAACCTTATGATTGTATTACCTTTTCCAGAAAGTGCATAATATTTTAAAAATTAAGGTGACCAACTGGATAACTCTTCAGTAGTGTCTCTAGAATGATCTCTGTGGAAAAGGAACAATTCTTGGTTATTTCTTAATGGCCTCTTTGTTTTTTTTTTTTTTTGAGACAGAGTCTCACTCTGTGGCCCAGGCTGAAGTGCAGTAGCTCTCTGCAACCTTCGGCTCACTGCAACCTTCGCCTCCTGGGTTCAAGCAATTCTCCTGCCTCAGCCTCATGAATAGCTGGGACTATAGGCACATGCTGCCATGCCTGGCTAGTTTTTTTTTTTTTAGACGGAGTCTCACCTATCGCCCAGGCTAGAGTGCAGTGGCGTGATCTCGGCTCACTGCAACCTCCACCTCCCACGTTCCAAGCGATTTTTCTACCTCAGTCTCCCCAGTAGCTGGGACTACAGGTGCGTACCACCACACCCTGCTAATTTTTGTATTTTTAGTAGAGACGGGGTTTCACCATATTGGCCAGGTTGGTCTCGAACTCCTGGCCTCGTGATCCAACCACCTCGGCCTCCCAAAGTGCTGGGATTACAGGCGTGAGCCACCGTGCCTGGCCCTAGTTTTTGTATTTTTAGTGGAGACAGGGTTTCACCATGTTGGCCAGGCTAGCTCAAACTCCAGACCTGTAGTGACTTGTTCACCTCAGCCTCCCAGAGTGTTAGGATTACAGGCGTGAGCCACCGCACCTGGCCTCTCTTACTAGCTTTTTTATATTACTAGATTTAATGCCAGAGTTCTTTGCTAGGTCACCTTCCAAACCACTGCCAATTACATTACCTCTGAATCTCATTTCTTTGCAAAAGTGAAAAATAAACTTGCAAAATGGTTGTATGGATTAAATGAGATAATATATGTAAAACATTTGGCACAAATGTTAGTTCCTTTTCTCAATATAATTTTTTTCTTTATAGGGAGTCTGAAGACACAGTATTGCTGGTCCTCAAAGAGATCTACCAAACCCAGGGTATCTTCCTTGATCAGCCTTTACAGTAAAAATAACCCATCTATGCCTGCTTAATGTAAGTTTTAAAATGTCATGTATGTAGTATAATTCTTACATATTAACATGTTATAATGAGCGATGGAGCCTCAAGCTCTTTGTAAATATACTTGCTATTGTCTATCACCAGGATCTAGGCTGCTATTCATTTTTAGAGGGACTGGTAGAAATTTATGGGGAAAAAAAACACAGTAGCCCATTTAGAGGAAGATTAGTGTATGTCTGTTTTGCTAGAGATTTTGTCCAATGACACCTGTCATTTTTTAGGATCTAAACTCAGAGTCTTAATGGTTCTGTTACTAAGAATTGCTGTGGCAACAGTTATGATTTTAATTACCAACCACCCATCCTGAGATTTAAATTACTCAGCCTTTTAGATGTGAAATTACAAAGTCTGTATATTCGACTCTGGCATTCTCTGTGGTTGCCTTCCAGTTGTGACTGCAGCTCTTCTCCCACTTTCTTCCCTAGACGGACATTGAGGGATCCTTCCCCAGAAAATCCACCTGTTTGTTGCTGCAATTTTCCTCTCCTCAGCTGCGTCATTTCCTGCATGTTGGCTGCCACTTACTCACCACTGTGGTCTTTGGAAGATAATCTTCCTCTTTGGAAATGAATGGAAAAGCAAAGGGCCTTATTACTTTTAACCACTGGCTTCATATAAACACTTGCCATTTTTTCTTCATAGCTGGGGGTGGTTTGTATCTTTAATTCTTTGATAATAGTTTGTAGGTGCCACACTTTATTGATTAGTACTTGACATGGTGTATAGCCTATTTTGGGTTTGATTTGTTTTGGGTGGCGTAGACATGTTTTTAAGGAACTTATTGCTTATCTTTAGAAAATGTTCTAGTTTGGAAACAGATTCTTGAGATTTAGAAGGCATTTTGGAGTACACTTATCTCTTGTTTGTATTGAACTGAAGGCTAAGTCTCAGTGGATATGAAAAAGACTTTTGGGTGATTTATTTTTTAACCTGCATTTCTTTCTTATGTGTAGTATATGAAGAAAGACTAAAATGTAGCTTTAAAAAAGTGTTGTTTACTCTCTTAGAACTGACAGACTTATTGCCAGAAATCACTGTTCATTGTTTTTGCAACTGTTTGAGCTGCTGTAAGAGTCTAAAGTTGACAAGTTAGTTCATGTTAGATGCATCTTTATAAAGCAAAGATGTTGTATATCCTAGGCCTCCCTTTTATATTTGATATAAGTTATTTGCTAATAGCTTCTATTCTTATGTTGAAAGTAGTTGTAAAAGCTGATGAACCTGAAATTACGTAGCCTGTACAGGCTGCTGAGGTTCTAAATAAAATCTTTTAGTGGTGCCTTTATGGTGAAACAGAATTTGTCACCTGCCATTTCTACTTGGGCTAAGGTAGTATTGTGTATCCTCTTTCCTTCTTAGGCATCCATAATCTGCAAAGCATATTTAAAAGGCTCTTGGCATAGGCAGCATTGGTTGGCAGGTAGGTTTGGCTAGGGGGAAATGTTTAACTTATTCTGAAAGAAAAACTTATTTCTGTAGGGTCCAAGAAACAGCTATTGCAGTCAGTGTCAGCCGAATCTGCAATATATGAAGTGAGGTTTACTTCTAAGAACATAAGTGACTGCACACTAATTTTGTCAAGGCATCTTTTCACTACTTTGCTGTAGATTTTTGTTCTTCATTGGTCAGAGTTTGTCACTGTCTTTGTAGTTCTCTTTATGATAGTCCTTTATACTTGCTCTCAGATTCCACAGGCCTCTGTTTATAGAGTGGCAAAGGCAGGCGAGCTGTGGTTTACTGTTTATAAATTTTTTTATAAATGTTATGGTTTCCGAAGCCACTGGCATTTAATATTTACTAAGCCATTCCTTAGACAGCAGTGATCTTTATCCCTTTCTGGAGAGAAAAGGAAAATGAAGGGTAATTACTGTCACCATGGAGACTGTAGAGGTAAGGTTGGGGTATAGGTCAGGCCTGGCCTTTCTTTGTCATCTCCTTATAGCCTAATGCTAAGTATGCCACTAAGTTTCAGATATATGGAATACTTTATTTTTTAAAAAGTATATAAACTCTGAGTTATTGAGAATTAAGTATTCACTGTATATTAAGGGGAAGCTTTTGCCAAGTTGTGGTCTTCAAATTTATGTTTACTCTTCCTATTGGCAGAACAGGCGCTGTTTAAGAGTAAACCAAAGGATAAGCAGAGGGAGTCCCTGTAACCAAAGATGGACAGCATAGCCCTGGATAGCCAGATAAACTACTCTTTGTATTAAGGAATGTTTCTTTCCTAGTGGTGAAGGGTGGGTAACTGTGAAAGAACTTTATATCTTGTCTATTCATGGTATTATAGCTGTATATTCCCAGGATAATAAGCTTGATTGAAATCCTGTATTTAGTCATATATTATTTGCACTGCTTCATTTGTATTATGTGCAATCTCTAGACCAAGCCTATTTTTAAAGTCTGGTATAGCATCATTTTGTACATATTCCCAGCTGCAGAACTAGTATCACTTATCTTAGCAAAAAGAGATTGTTTGCATGGAAAGATTAATAGCACTGATTAGATTTCTAATATTTTGCACTTTTGAAATGTTTGTTTTTTACGTGATTATATTTAAAAATTTAGTAAATACTAAAATGGAACCATACTGACTAGTGGCCTACTTTTACCTGGAGTCACCCGTCACAAAGTCAAGAAAATCAATACAGTCACGATTTTATCTGCCTTTATGTATTACTAAAACAAAAAAATAAGTTTTGGGCAAAGAACTAATATGTAAATTCTTTCCCGTTGACTGGTATTTTCATTGTCATAGGCAGAATTTAAGTTCAGAATTTAAAGCATGGCAATTATAAGAGACTTTCCTTTGGTATTTGTAAATATTAGCCAGTACTATAGATAACAGCAGTTGAATCACTTATGGCGGATGGGGAATTCAGTGTTTTGCTTTACTAAAGTTCCAGCCCCTTAATGTAATTTAAATATTTTAAAAAGCACACATTTACCATTTTATTTGAATATCAGGTTTACTGAAGGAAAAAGATAGATATATTGAAAATATAGGAAGATACACATAAAAGACAAGGTCATATTTAAAGTACAATCACAATAAAGAGAAAGGGAGCTGTAGGTCCTACAGCATCAGTTCTGATGACATCCTGTAATTGTTCCTTATATCCCATTGTGAAGAAGAGGCAGAAAAAGATTCATCTGTCCTTCAGATGATGATACCTGTCATTTTTCTTTTCTGCCTTAGTCACTTGGCAGTGTTGGTGCATTTGAGCAGATCTTCAGTCATGAATGGAAGGAAGGAAGCTCATGAGCACAGTTATGGTTAAATGAGGTAGAAACAGTCATCTGTTAGTAGTGCTGAAACCACACTCCTGACCATTTTCTTCTTTATTATTGTGTTCACTTAGTAATTCAACAGATTGTTTATACCCACGGTGTTCAAAATGTACAGCAGTACCAGATGGCTGGACTCAGATAAGATGTGCACAAAAGTGATAAATTACCCCAGATTCAACATTTTCCTATTTAAGGCTTGATGGAATTGTCATCAGAGAAGGTAAACAGAATCAAAGTAATTTAGTTGGCCATGTCCTAGATTTTAAGATCTTGAGCTATACGAAATGGAAATTAAGTTTTGATAATTAGCTTCTGAGATAAGATGGGGCTATGTAAAGGCTTTGTGACAAGATCTTTCTAAGAATGGCGTTTAAATTAAATGTAAAAACACTGTAGATCTTCGGATATCAATCTGATAGACCAGATTTATAAGGTGTTGGACACCATTGAAAGATCCTTTTACTAGAATGTATGGCATACAGTAGTAGAAAAGAACCGTAACTCCTCAAGATAGATCTGTGTGAGCAGGGACGAAAGTGTGTAATCATTTGGAGGCAGAATACAGTGTAGCTTATGTCCTCACTTGCACCTTGGAAGAGGAAAAAAAGGCCAGAATTTCTTGTCTTGTGCATGGTCCAGTTAGGAGGGCTAGTTCACCTGTTTTCCATTAAGGTAGATTCAATTTTTTTTTTTTTTTTTTTGAGGAGGGTCTCGCTCTGTTGCCTAGGCTGGAGTGCAGTGGCACGATCTTGGCTCACTGGAACCTCCGCCTCCAGGTTCAAGCAATTCTCCTACCTCAGCCTCCCGAGTAGCTGGAATTACAGGCACATCGCCACTCCCGGCTAATTTTTGTATTTTTAGTAGAGACGGGGTTTCATCACGTTGGCCATGCTGGTCCCGAACTCCTGACCTCAGGTGATCCACCCTCCTCGGCCTCCCAAAGTGTTGTGATTACAGGCGTGAGCCACCATGCCCAGCCAGATTCAATTTTTAAATATCAAAACAATAAGAATCCCCAGGCTTCTTCTGTGCAGTTGGAAGTGCAAGTTTGTCTTGAAATGGTTTATGGCATTCTGCATCAGTCAAAGGAGGATAATACTGCCGATAGCAGACATAGGCAAATGTCATTCCAATCATGGATCCAACTAGTACATCTGAAGAGAGTGGAAACAATGTCTTCTCTTAATATTAGGCTCCTAAATCCTACTACAAACACATGTAGCGTAGAGGACCTGGCCCTCCAGGATACTCTACGGTGGTGCTTAAAATAACCTCAATTCCAGATTTATGGTTTCTAAATAAAATATTTTTATTCTCAATTTTATCATAGTTACAGGATTATCATTATCACGTTGCTCTCCGAACACCAAATCAAAACACATCTTAAGTAAGTATAATAAGCTTTGTTCTGAGTGTACTAAATTAGAATTTTTCTAACTCAGAAGAGTAACAAAGGTCCACTTACTGCTATTCATCTACCCATTTTCACCATTTAAAGGGTCCTAGAGGAAGGAATAAAGTATTTTAAGGGTTGCTTCTCGCCGGGCGCAGTGGCTCACGCCTGTAATCCCAGCACTTTGAGATGACGAGGCAGGCGGATCACGAGGTCAGGAGATCGAGACCAGCCTGGCCAAGTGAAACCCCATCTCTACTAAAAATACAAAAATTAGCCGGGTGTGGTGGCACATGCCTGTAATCCCAGCTATTCAGGAGGCTGAGGCAGGAGAATCGCTCAAAAAAAAAAAAAAAAAAGTTGCTTCTCTTTGCAGAAAACTAGTTTATTTAAAATAGGGTTCCTGAGGACCTGTGGGCAGTACTTCCAACGTTTTTTTGGAATTGTGGTTTTGAAGGTATTCTATAATTTTTTTATTTTTTTTAGACAGAGTCTCACTCTGTCACCCAGACTGGAGAGCAGTGGCGTGATCTCAGCTCACTGCAACCTCCACCTCCTGGGTTCAAGCAATTCTCCTGCCACAGCCTTCTGAGTAGCTGGGACTACAAGCATGTGCCACCATGCCTGGCTAATTTTTGTATTTTTATTTATTTATTTTTGAGACAGAGTTTTGCTCTCATTGCCCAGGCTGGAGTGCAGTGGTGCGATGTCGGCTCACTGCAACCTCTACCTCCCAGGTTCAAGCCATTCTCCTGCCTCAGCCTCCCAAGCAGCTGGGATGAAAGGCATGTGCCACCACGCCCAGCTAATTTTGTATTTTTAGTAGAGATAGCATTTCACTCTGTTGGTCAGGCTGGTCTTGAACTCCTGATCTCAGGTAATCCACCCACCTCACCCTCCCAAAGTGCTGGGATTACAGGCGTGAGCCACTGCGCCTGGCCTCAGTTTTTGTATTTTTAGTAGAGACGGGGTTTCAATATGTTGGCCAGGATGGTCTTGAACTCCTGACTTCAGGCGATCTGCCTGCCTCAGCCTCCCAAAGTGCTGGAATTATAGGCATAGGCCACCACGCCCAGCCAGGTGTTCTACAATTTGGATATTTTACTTACTATAGCATTCAGCTTAAACTTGTTTGGTTTGATTATAATTTTACGTTTTCTTGAATTTTACTTATATTTTTGAACAAAGTCCTATGACCATGAACCTAATTTGTAAGAGAGTAAATTGAACTCTGAGGTTTTAAATTTCCTGTAGATGCAGTTTAACTTGAACTTACAATGCTTCAAATAATGGAAAAATTAGGATATCTTTGGTAAACTCTTTTTGTCTTATCTTTCCTATAATTTTAAATGTATATTCATAGTATAGAACCCAGACCATCCATATTCATTGTTTTGTTCATTCAGCAGATATTTAGTAACCGTCTCCTCTATGCTAGGTGCTAGGAATAAAATGAGTGAAATATGCAAGCTTCCATGGCTTGAGTACTTTGCTTACCTTGCCAGTGATGCTTGTAGTCACATGTGCGGGACAGTGCAATCACAGCTGCAAAAAGTAGAGGTGACAGAAAGGCACAGAACCTCCAAGATTTCCCACGGCCTTGTGGTGTGAAGCAGTGTAACTTCCCTGCCAGGTAGAAGGAAGCAAAGGCCAGACCAGCAAATGCAACTGGAACAAGAAAAACTTTTAAGTGGTGTGTCTTTTAAAGGAAGCTTCATTCATCCCCACATAGGAGGCTAGGAAGCATGAGTATGTTTTTATTTATTTATTTATTTTTGAGACAGAGTCTTGCTCTGTCATCCAGGCTGGAGTGCAGTGGCACCATCTCGGCTCACTGCAACCTCCACTACCCGGTTTCAAGCGATTCTCCTGCCTCAGCCTCCTGAGTAACTGGGACTATTTGCATGTGCCACCACGCACGGCTAATTTTTTTATTTTTAGTAGAGACGGGATTTCACCATGTTGGTTAGCCTGGTTTCGAACTCCTGGCCTCAAGTGACCTGCATGCCTTGGCCTCCCAATTGCTGGGATTACAGGTATGAGCCACCACACGCGGCCATGAGGATGTTTTAATCCTTTTTTGTGTATACTTCTAGTGTAAATCATTGTGAAGGAAAGGGAAACAAAAAGAAAAATGAAGGACTTAGTGCCCCAAAGTTCATGTTTTATCAGAGTATAGTTTTCAGAATACTAGCTATATGAATTAACTTGTTGATGCTTTAGTTTCCTCATCTATAAATGGGACTCATAAAAATAATAGTCCCCACCTCACTGGATTATTGTAAGCTATAATTAGGTAAATGAAAATGCTTCCAAGCACCTGACACACATAAACTCTTCGTTAAAGGTATTTTTACTGCTAGTACAAGATTGCAGGATCCAGGCAAATAATATAATAATAATTAACTGTGCAAATCTTATAAAGGTAAATTCTTTCTGTTCTGTAATATTTACCCAGATAGTCAAGGCTCAGACTTGCTAAACTGTGGAGTTACTAAAGAAGGGGCCGGGGGGCCGGCGGGGGGGCAGGGGGCGGGGTTTCCAAATTCTAGAAACAAGAGTAGTCAGATTTTCCCATCCCTACTAGCCTACTAGCTTTCTAGGTTAAATTCAATGACATGAAAACAAGCATAGGGGTAGAGTCCATATGATAGTCATACAGGAAGAATGTCCGCTGGGGAAGCTCTTTCGGCCCTCATTCACCACGTCCTTATCCCCTGTACACATCAAGTCAGAATGGGCTAGCCCATCAGGGAAGCAGCGGTAGAAGAAATCTGGGCGTGGCCTGGAAGCAAGAAGCATGGTTAGAACGTCAATCATTAACTCCAGAAATTATTTTTCAGTTGTAGCAGACATTAATAATCCTGTTAACTATTGGTCAAACAGTGCCCCAGGCAAAATAAAGTAACTGGATTAGTATAGTCACCACACTAAGAGAAAAGTCTTACTTCCAAGGTCAGCATTTAAATTAGGGGAAAACCCCATTCCAGTACATGATTAGTTTCTAGGGCAAACAGCAAATGACACTGCAGCTTCAGGAGGTGCTCGAGAGGACACTGACCGGCTCTGCTGTGGCCATTGGTGGGAAATGCTGTTCAGGGCAGAAAAGAGCCCAGGTGTCACCTGGAGGACTGAGGTATGGGGAAGGGAGTAAGCGTTGAATGAGAAAAGAAAAATCAGAGTGAAGATAAAGGGAAAAGAATGAGAAAGACGTGTGGTGGACACCACCACTGTCCTGGTGGGTAAGGGCTGAAGCAGACGCTGAGGTGGTTAGCTGTCGTCACTTACCTCCCTACGATCAGCTTTATTGTGTTGGTAAAGACGCCATTCAGAGCCAGGGCAAGGCTGGCAGCTGCAAAGCAAAGCCCTAAGTTAGAAGGATCTGTCTAGGAGGAAAGGCATGGTCATAGCCTCATTAAGAGAGCAGCCGCACTGTTTCTGAGATGGATAGAATCCAACAAGACCTGGACCCAAAAATAATTAAGGTCTTCAGTGATCACTTTTGTAGTCGAGAACTTTTGTACTAGGCCAAAGACATTTCTGAAGTACAAATAACCCAGTGCATTTAGGCACAGGGCTGCCTGCGGTGTAGCCTGCATAACCAAGTCCCTGCAGTGCTATTTTCCTCTCCCGCGGGGACGGAGTTCCTTTAGGAATGCAGAACTCAGTGGCCTCCACACAGGCTCACCGTGGCTGAACCCCACAACGACTTCCTAGGTTCCCAGCACGAAGACACCGGCCAGAAAGGACTAGTGCTCACCCAGGCAGGCTTGTCTGCTGTCTCTTGTGTCTGCCTTCTTGAGAAATTTGGCCAGGAAGATCAGAGACAGTGGAGAGAGAAATGCAATAACCTGAATTGGAATGTCAGAGGTTAAAAACAATTAAAAAAAAAAAAAAGCCACACTCATGGTTAAAGTAGCTCCTACAGGAAAGGGACGTGAAACAGCAGGACTCACTAGCGCTAACATAAGGTGTCTGAAAGCGCATAACCGGGAGCCAGGCGGCGCCACCAGCGAACAACAGCAACTGTGCGGCTCGGGCCCCGGTACCTCAGGCTGAGGCACAGAGCACCCGGGAAAACGTTGTATCAGCCGAAAGAGGCTCGGACATCCTCCTCTCTCAATCAGGATCTTAAACACTAGAGCCCTAGGAGGCGGAACCCAGCGCATAGCAGCGGAGTGGGTAGTAGGTCCCTACAGAGGCCGTCTCCACGGAGGAAAAAGCACAGGTGCCCGCGGGAAGCCCGGTTACGGGGAGGGAAGAGGGACGATCTTTCTCCACGCACAAACATCGGCTTGGTGGGGAAATACTCCGCCTCCACGTAGGGGTTCCGGTAGAGCCACATCTCCTCCGGCTGGATGAGTCTCTGGAACGGGGGGAGCAGCTCCGTCACCCTAGAGGGGAACAAAGAAGCGCAGAGCAGGTCGCCTGGCTTCCTCCCTGCTTCCCCACTGCCCGGCCCGCCGCCCCCTGCCGCCTGCCTGCCTGGGAAGCGGGGCCGCCCGGACCCGGCCGTGGATCTTACAGGAAGGCCGCGAACAGCGCGAGCCGCACGCCCACTTCGGCCCCAAAGGCCACCGCCGCCGCCGCCTTCCCCATCCGGCCGCGAGCGCCGAGCGACGCCGCGCTGACGTGGCCGCCTCCGCGGGGAGGGCCGGGCCGAGAACTGCTCACCGCCCCCTCTCCCAGCCGCTCGCGCTCCGGCCGCTGCCCAGGAAGCCGGCCTGGCGGCTGTGCCGAGGGCAAAGGGGACGCAAAGTCAGCGGAGCTGCCCTCCGGTGCGTTCAGCAGGGAGCCAACGCCCCAGTTTCAGCCGAGTAGGTCGGCGTGCGGTCCATGAGCAGCTCCTCTCCACACCCCAACTACACAACCGCGGGGAGCAGCCTTCTCCCGGGACCTCGCCTCTAAACAGAAAACCAAACAGCTCGCTCTCAGATCCTGGTTCCCTAGCAACACAGCCGCATTCTGCAGGAAACTACACTGGCTGAGGTTGGCTAGATTGTGTCATTTAGTCCTCCCACCCAGGATGGCCTCCTGCCCAGAGTGTTGTAGCAAAAAATTACTGGCAAAGAACAAGCCCATATATTTAATTTGGAACATACAGGACAATTTATTGAAGTCAATCTCAAGCAAAATCTGAAATCAGTGGAATGTCATTAAAAACCTTTCCAAATTAATCCTCACGGAAGCAAAAAACACATTGGAATTCCAAAGTATTTGTAAAATAAAAAAGGCAACATCAGTAAATATAATGTACAAAAATTATATGTTCCTACCAGCACACACATCAGTAAAGAAGCTTAAATATTACAGGCAATCCTAAATACACTGTAACTAGTCAACAATAAGCTATCTATATACAGGTTAACCAAGCTTTACACATTTCACACTATGCAATAAAACATAGGCCAATCAACAAAATCCTCAAAATATTATATATCTTGAAGTCTATGTGGCAACATCAAGTCATTATACAGTAATGCCCTAGTGGAACACCCCCAGGGAAAATGAACACTAATCCCTTAGTGTCAAGAGCTTCTAGCCAAGTCACAGAAACTCAAAAGAGATTGACTTTAGTGAATATTGATGCTTTGTTATTAAAGACTCAAGTCTCAAGTGATTTAGGCAAAATAACAGTTCACAGGATCTACAAAGTTTATTACAGATAAAGTACAGAAATAACCAATCTACAAAGATCATCATAAAGAACACGAGAAAATGAAAACGGAGTCTGTAGGTATCTGTGTTTTGTTGTGCAATATCACTCAAATGGGTACAAATGAATTTCTTGTATCAATTCCAAATATACACATACCCTTGTATATAAAAAATGATATTAGCCAGTTGTAATACTCATTTAGCATCTTGGTTATTAGTGGCAATATGATTTTCTTAACATAGGGCATGTAACAGGACAAATGAGATAAAATGACAACAAAGTAAGTTTTATCCAGTCCATTTCTAAACTGACAAGAATACCTTATCAATACCTTCTATAGGTAATCTGACAGATACTTGAGGGCTGTTTGCACACATCAAGTGTGTTGGCAGGCAGGGAGGGGAGCAGTAAAAGCTTAGGGTGCGTTCTCACTAACTAGCAGATGCAGTAATGCCACATAAGAAAACTTAAAGACTGAATAAATGACTTTGGCATCTATTCTATTTTCCCTTTTTACTTACATGTAAATTACTTTTACAGCCTACTGAAGGACAGGCAATTCTCATCCCCCTCCCACTTCATACATACTTGCCACAAGCACCCAAACTTGCCACTTACGCAATGGACTGACCAAAACAAAACAAAAAACAGAAATGTTTTTTGAAAGACACAGATTACCCACATTTTGTGAGTGTAACGTAAGTGCAATTTTTTTGTTTTTTTCCCTACATAGACATAGTAAAAGGAAAGAAGATGTGCTTGGGGACAGGGTTGACAAAATGACAAAATAAAGAACGTACATAAGTAGTATTTGTAAAAATGCTGGTATCTCATGCAGGAGTCTCTTCCTCAAATGTGTTCAATCAATCCGAGCTATCTACTGTGAACACTCTCCCATTTGCAACACTTCACCTTTAATCCACGCTAAAGAGGATAAGAGACTAGGCTACTTATTTTCAAAACGGTTTACAAAACAATGCTTTCTACTTCATAAATGTAAAAAGAAACTGTAAAATAAGGAGAATCTGAAGAGTTTCAAGTACTTAAAAAACCTGAATTCAATGAGGCAGAGGTCTCAATGTTAAAGTGACTACTTCGTACCTGTGGTAAACATTATCCCCCCCCCTTACCCTATTATAACCCCCTTTCTCCTGGTACCCCACCCCAGGTAAAAGTTGGTGAGATTTCAGTATATACACATTTCCAACTTTTCAGTATTTGTTAATTCATTGCAAAGCTGTCAAATTATAGTATTCCCTAGTCCATCTGAAAATGGAACCAAGTTCTACTTTTTGTTTTACAAATAACCAGAGACCAATTCTAGGTGGCCCTAGGCCAAAGGAAAGTGTTTCAGTTCATCAATTCATGTCTGCACCAACTTGGACAACTGGGGGTGGCTGGACGCATCAGCCTTGTGAAAAGTAACTTTAGTCTACGCTGCCCAGAAATAAAGCAACTTTCCAATATCCTTTTTCTCATGTGGAAGTACATAGAATGTCAGCTTCCCAGCCGTGAGGGCTCCATAGCCACTGTTTTCTTATCTTCTAAGAGGACATGGCAGGTGGCAGCCAGCACCTTGACTTTAAGGTGAATGCTAAAGGAAGAGCTTTGTATTTAAAATGAAATGAAAGACAAGCAACAAGTCCTGGGCAGTCCAGAGATTATATTGTCTACAGATGGCCTGGTTGCAAACTGTAGGTCTGGGTTTGAACTATTGGAATACACCATGCAAGAAACTACTCAAAAAGGAAATTCCACTTCATGATCTAGGAAAGTTGTTCAACAGCCTGTCCCATCTGAGGGTCCTTTACATGATACTCAGTATCTCAGTTCTACAACATTATTTACAGACATGTTTTCAAATATTTTGTGTAAATGGCAGAAGGGAGCTGGGGGCAGCCCCCCTGCCTCCATTAAATGTTTTAGCTTTCAGGTATGTTCCTGACTTGTATAGAAAATTCCAAATTTTAAATGATTCTCAAACTCAGCCAGTTCTATAGATTAGGCCAGATCATTTTTGAGAATTAAGATACAGTGGGAACTTGTTAAAACAAAAATGAAAATAAAACTCACGTCACTCCTGTATCTCTCCCTGATTAGACATTAAAGAGATGAATCACTGCCTCTGGCTGCTTCAGCCTTCCAGGAATGAAGGGCCATCCACTCTGCCCTTCTCACCCAGCCAGGGGCTGCTCTTCCCATTCCTCCCTCACAGCAGTGGCGGTCCAGCCCCTCCCTCCCCTGCACAGTGCCTGGGAAGGTTTCCCAGGATTTCATCTTTAGCTCTTACTGATCCAATTTCTGAAGCTTTAGGCTGATTATCAAAAATCTTATGTTCACTTCGTCCTTCAACAAATTAACATGTGGTTAAAAAAAAATACCACCATTAGCCCATGCTGCTTTAAGTTATTTCATTGTTTGACAAGAATAAAAACCAACCACTTACACTGACCACATATAGATTTAAAAGTTAACAAATATCAACTTCAGACTATAAGTGAGCAATGTGTCTTTTGGAATATTTCATTGGTGTAGCACAGGCACAGTGCATGTATACTCATGCACACATAAAGGACAATTTTCTCTTTCTGTATCTATAATCTGCAACTTAAAAATATATAAAATAGGTCAACATTGACGCTATGGAGATGTGAGGAGAGCTCCTTGGCACCGGCATGACTAAAACCGCTTTTTAGACCATTAAAGAACACTCATGGCCAAAGACTTCAGAACTATGGTTAGCATTTTTTTTTTTTTTTTTTTTTTGAGACCAGGAGTTTCACTCTGTCGCCCAGGCTGGAGTGCAGTGATATGATTTTGGCTCACTGCAACCTCCACCTCCTGGGTTCAAGTGATTCTTCTGCCTCAGCCTCCCGAGAAACTGGGACTACAGACATGTGCCACCATGCCCAGCTACTTTTTGTATTTTTAGTAGAGACAGGGTTTCACCATGTTGGTCAGGCTGGTCTCAAACTCCTGACCTCGTGTTCTGCCCACCTCGGCCTCCCAGAGTGCTGGGATTACAGGTGTGAGCCACTGCACCCGGCAGCTATTTTGTTTTCTACTCTGATTTCTGAAATGGTGAAACAATCCTATTAATCATATATTTTTTAATTTCATCAGAGCTCTGTTACAGATATGACACAATGAAGAAGCTGCATAAAAGTACTGAAACCTAAGGTATCTGTAGTATATAGGATGTACCCTGGCTTACCATATAAAAGTCATTAGATAGTAAATAGCACTAAGTCTAAAAGCAAGAAGATAAGATTTCATGTTGGATACTGTTTCAACAAGAACTGTATTTGGAATATTAAAGGAAATCCTTATGTTAGTAAGTTTAAAAAACCAAACATCATATACAAAATAAAATTTTAGTATGATAAAACCTAGGTTTTCTTATTTTTTAAAAGGACATCAAACTCTATAATTGCTCAAGAGCAAAGTTTAGTGTTTTGGTGAGCTGTATTTCATCTTACTTGTAGCAATTATATTTGGTGACATGGATTGCATTTTCCATTTTGCTCTTTTGGGACCATATCTAATCAACAGAAGTATTGGAAGCCCAATGAGTCACCGCAGAATTAATTGCTGGAGTCAGGCAAATGGCAGTTTAGGAGCTTCAGTAAAAGAATTGTAGTGTTGTTTTTTACAAGAGAAAATCCAGTATAATTGCACATTTACATACAAAAAAAAAAGAGGCACAAAACAGCTTTTCACCCTCTTTCCATAGAAGAGCTCTAAATTGATAAGCAAATGGAACACTCAGTACAGCTGAAGGAATGTGGTAGAGCATCTACCCTCCCTACCTTCATAAGGTTACTAGGTACTTGAGGGAAAATAAATGCTAACCAGGTACCAGCAATTGTAAGCAGTCAAAATTCACAGAGAAAGTTAACATTCATTCAAGCTAACCCTAGACTTCTACTTAGTACAGTGTTACAACAATGTCTGACATTACTAATTATTTCATACAAGGAATACTGGAATATAGATATTCCTAAGCATTAAAAGCCAAGTGAGTTTGGTGAGCAGACATCTTGGTATACTCGCGTCTATAAGAGTCAAGCGTCACCGTCAACCATTTTTGCTAACACTGACTTTCTTGAGAGTTTTCTCCAAGTGCTTCCTAAGATGAAGTGTGTTTGTGTGGCTCTTATGTACCCTGTAAAAGTAGAAGTTCTTCCCCTTACTCAATGGGAGCAATCTTAAGTACTGGATAATAATAGAAATTCTTTACATGTAACCTGGGGATGCCCCTATAACTTTCGCCCCCTAAATTAGGAACTCAACCAAAAAGATCTATTCAAATACAATTCAAACTCACTTGTGTGGTTTTACCAGGAAACATGACTGAATGGTCAGGTGACAAAAGAAATGTTTGAGTAGGAGAGGAAAACAGAGACAAAAAATAAAATGCCTGTAATTCTTTCCAATTTAGACCAGGGTCTACAATAAAATTGGACAGGAAATGGTGCTTATATGATACAACTTTTGGTTTGTGCCTTCATCCCCCTTTAGCTGCCTTTATCAGTGTCAGGAAAATAGGCGTGACCATTCCAACTATGCTTCATATCCACAGAAACGCACTTCATCCAAAATCCAAACCATCCCTGTCAATGGAGAACGTTTCAAAAATCAGTGAGCACATCCATGCCTCTTTTCCCTTCCACCAAGGAAACACACCATATACCTTTCTAGGTAAAGTTACCATGGTACAAAGCCCACCTTGTTTAAGAACACAGAGGTAAAATCCACCGAGGCATTGTTTTTAAGAGGCCAGATTTAATACTTCCATAGAGCCCTTCTCTAAGTCTATGAAAAGCATTCTGAAGGGAAAGAGAAGTGAGCCTACCTACTGCTCAGTAAAGAGGTATATAAAGCTTATCACACCCTTTCCTAGAGGGCTTTCTCAGATTCCTACTTAAAACACACACACACTTGATTAGACTATTGAACTACACTTCTTGAAATTCCTAAAAATGAAAATAAATAAAGGAATGATGGCTACTTTTGCTTTATACAACCAAGGAACACATCTTAGACTTTAAATTTATCTCATTAACACAACTTTCTTTTCTCTTTGTTCTTATTTTAAAAGCAAAAACATTTCTTTTTCAAGCTGCAATGGCATTGAAGCACAATAAAAGGCAAGAAAAGACCAAGGGAATTTAACCCTCCACAAAAGAATCCCCAGACCAACCAAACAAAACAGAAAAACCAGACACCACCAACTGCTTCTGCCTGCATGAACTGGTTTCCCATTTTGGCTTTAATAAGGCAGTTCCGATGGCAAAGGCTGTATGCACTGTAGCAGTCTCTTCTTTTTAAATGCATGATCTATTTGCTTTTTTTCACGTAAATAGAAAGGAGGGGACGCCACACATTTATTCTTTTACTTCTTCTCCATGATCCTGTGATTCCCATTTACATTTTATCTTGCTCCAGTATTCTGGTGACACAGGAGCCATGGGGTCATGTTCCGAGCAGCAGAGGCGGCCTTCCAGTGCGGAGGGGACCAGGGCCCCCTTTTCATGATCTTTACAAAATGAATGTGGACAGAACTCACAGAAGGAAACAGCTGCACTGCTGCACTCATCGCACTGATGCCACGGACACTCCCACTTTCCTAAATCGGGGAGAAGGGGAGGAAGAAGAAGTGCCCAAGTTAGTGCCTGTCTTGATTACCCATGAAAAACCCAGGTTCCTTTTTCTCTAATTGGAGATGGAATTCAATTGAATACAACTCCAAATTTCAACCAAACACAGATCTGGGTGTATTATTTAGGACAGATGTGAGCTACTGGCCAAAACCCAACGCCATAGGTACCAACTACCCACCTATGGGAACAGTATACAAGAAGAAACCAATCCTTGATGAACCACAGGGTATCCCAAATGTGTAAGGGGAAAGATTTTTTTGCCAGCATAATTTTTTGCTATTGTTTGCTCTATTCAACATTTCCTATCCCATGGCATGGAATATATTCTGAGTTACACATAGTTGGCAAAGACACAAGTTAGGGAAAGGGTCCTGAAGGTCCAGCTTACCATATGGTGGCTGAGTCAGGTTAAGGCATAGGAGGTGGTATGCTTTGGGACAGTCTTTTTTGTCACACATGACCAGCTCTCCACCATCTCCACATTGAAAACAGTAATCTTCATGCATCTGCTTTGGTTCTGTTTTGATCTTTCGTCTCTTCTGTTTTAACTTAGCATTTTTTGCCTTCTCTTCAGTTGTTGACGCACATGCCGACTGGCAGGAAAGAAAGGATCGTTTCAAACATCACAGACAGTGCATGAAGCTGGACACAGATAGGAAAACCCTACAACCTCACATTCATTTAAATTCATCTGTTGTACAATTACCTAAAAACATCAGAAGGCCTTATGCTGCAACAAATACTATAACAAAAATAAAGTTTTGTTTTCACTGACTTAAAAATTATTATTATTATTATTTTTTGAGATAGGGTTCTTGCTGTGTTGTCCAGGCCGGAGTGCAGTGGTGCAATCTTGGCTCACTGCAGCCTTGACCTCCTGGGCTCAAGCAATCCTCTTGTCTCAGCCTCCCAAGTAGCTGGGACTACATGCGCATGCCATCATGCCTGGCTAATTTTTGTAATTTTTTTTGTTGAGACAGGGTCTTGCTATACTGCCCAGGCTGGTCTCAAACTTCTGGGCTCAAGTGATCCTCCTGCCTCAGCCTTTCATTGACTTTTTTTGGAGACTGAGTCTCACTCTGTCACCAGGCTGGAGTGCAGTGGGGCGATCTCATCTCACTGCAACCTCTGCCTCCTGGGTTCAAGGAATTCTCCTGCCTCAGCCTCCTGAGTAGCTGGGACGACAGGCGCGTGCTGCCACACATGGCTGATTTTTTGTATTTTAGTAGAGATGGGGTTTCACTGTGTTGCCCAGGCTGGTCTTGAACTCCTGAGCTCAGGCAATCCGCCTGCCTCAGCCTCCCAAAGAGCTAGGATTACAGACATGAGCCATTGCGCCTGGCCTTTACTGACTTTTGAATAGGGTGCTTTTTATTATTTTTATTTGGTTAGTTTTTTGAGACGGAGTCTCACTCTGTCACCCATGCTGGAGTGCAATGGCATGATCTTGGCTCACTGCAACCTCTGCCTCCTGGTTTCAAGCGATTCTTCTGCCTTAGCCTCCTGAGTAGCTGAGATTACAGGTGTGTGCTACCACACCTGGCTAATTTTTGTATTTTCAGTAGAGATGGGGTTTCACCATGTTGGTCAGGCTGGTCTCGAACTCCTGACCTTATGATCCACCAGCCTCGGCCTCCCAAAGTGCTGGGATTACAGGCGTGAGCCACCGCGCCCAGCCAGGTGCTTTTTATTTTTAATTGCAAGGGTAGTGGTAAATCCAAACTTTAGGCAACCTGTTAATTTTTTTCATTGTGGTATAATTCACATACCACAGAATTCACCATTTTAAAGTGTATAATTCAATGGCCCTTAGTATTTTGTGGATTTTTTAAAAGTTTTAAATTAGCTTTTTGCTAATTTCATATTCAACCTGAAATAAAATACATTCTCAGAACCTAACAGACGTTACCAAAACAAGCTTCCTTGGAAAGTCACAGTCTAAATGTTTGATAAGCCCAGCTGATGACCCACAAACTAATCCAGGTGCCCAACTGCCAGCAGGTTCCTGAGATGGTCACAAACACACAAACAGACTTCTTTTTTTTTTTTTTTTTTTGAGACGGAGTCTCACTCTGTCACCCAGGCTGGAGTGCAGTGGCGCGATCTCAGCTCACTGCAAGCTCTGCCTTCCGGGTTCATGCCGTTAT